CAGCCCCCGGGGGGCCCCCGCGGGGAGCCCCGCCCCCAGGCTGGATCTCGGGGGGGGGTGCGGGACCCACGTCACAGCCGTTGGTGGCGGGGTTGGGGGAGCACCCCTTGCGGAACTAACTTTCGCTTTACCCTGCGGAGTTCAAGTTTGGCGAACGTGGAGGCAGAGAGAGGGAGACTTGGCAGGGGGCGCGTTTCCAAGCCGGCTCCCCATCTCCATCCCGGCCCCACCCCGGGAATCGGGAATGGAGCCCCGGAGTGCCCTCCTCCCAGAAAGTTGGCGGTGAGACTTTTCCTCCCGTCGGAAAGTTGAGACCCGGTCCCCGCGCCGCCCCGCCCCCGCAGAGGGCTGCAGCCCAGCTAGTGGGGTGGAAAAGGAGGGGTGCCACTCTCCGCTCGGCAGTGGGGTCGCATTCCCTCCCCTTGGGGCCCTCCGCGCGCCCCTGGGTGTGGCGGGCTGCCCTGGAGCTGCCCGCGCGGGAGCAGGTATTGGGTGTCCGCCGAGGCGGGGCGGCCGGCGACAATGGGCAGCTCTGATTCCGCTGCCGGCACTTTGTTGGCGGGCGGGGCGGCGGGCCGCGCAGCTGTCGCATTTTCCCACGAGCGGGAGCCCGGTGTGGCCGCCCCCACCCCTCCGCTCTGCTCGCCCCCCTCCTCCCCCAGCACGGTGGAACAGCAAGACAACCTCATTGGCTGGGTGGGGGCCCCAGACTCCCAGGGCTCTGGGGAAAACGGACTGGGGGGAGGGGTGTCCCTGGGGTGCAAATCTGGGGAGTGGCCAAGGGTCAGCTCCTCATTCTTTGCTGCTGCTGCCAGCCTCCACTTGGGGCACCACCTGCCCACCTGCCAGCCCTCCCCGCCCCCATCTCCAACTTTGGAACCTTGAGGCCTTTGGGGGTTCCTATAGGGAGGGGGTCCTGTGACCCCAGAAGTGAGCAGAGCTCTCTAGATGAGGTCTGACGCTGCCCTCAGACCAAAGCTGGTGCCCAGGGCGGGCTGGCTTTCTGTCCCCAGAAGCCATGGCCCTGGGCAGGCCCCTCAGCTGACCCCCTTTCTCTTGTGCCCCCCACCCCCCAGGCCTACGGTGTTCCCAGCCAGAGGAGACCTGCTTGAATGGCGGGAAATGTGAAGTGTCTGCCGATGGCTCGGAGGCCTGTGTGTGAGTATGCGCCCCTCCGGGACCTGTTGCTTTTGGGGGAGCTGGATGGAGCCCCTGCCGCTGGGCAGCCAGGACTCAACACTAGGCCATTGTCTGTGAAGATGGCCCAGAAGCTGGGAAAGTCACGTGCTGATTTTTATTGGACAAAGTCTGGCAATTACTTAATCACTCACAATTAGGCCGCGTGTGAGCGGGCTGGCCTGGGAGGGGCCACCTTGGCCTGCTGGGCTCTGAGTGCGAATTCTGAAACTCATTTCTCCCCGAAGCCCCTGAGAAACAGCAGGGCTGTGGAGGGCTCAGGACACCCTCCTGCTATCAGCAGGCAGGGTATCCCCTCCTCTGGGTGGGCTGAGCACCCGTGGGCAGGGGAGCCTCTCAGAAGGAAATTGATGAGCCGGTGCAAAGTCAAACCCCGAGACCTGCCCTCCAGGACCTGAGGTTCCTCTCAGAGGGAGTGACCGCTGGGCAGGCGAGCCTGAGTGGGTGCCCTCTTGGCTCCGACCTCAGCTGGCTGGAGTGTGGGCTTGGAGCCCAGGGAGCTGCATGGAGTGCCAGCGTGCCCCGCTTCCCCCGCCACCCCCCCCTCCTGACCGCAGTCCAAGCTGGGCTGATGTCCTTCAACTTGAGTTGTTTCCTGAGGAGAATACTGAGGAGGTCCTGGGGCGGGTCCACCCACTGACCGCCCCATTCCCCTGACAACGGCCAGCCCACCAGCAGCCCCAGGCCCCCTCCCCCCCACCCCCGCACCCTGGAGCCAATTACGTGAGCAAGCGGCCGGCCTTTGTCAGATCCTGATGAATGCGAGCTCTTTTTTATTTTTTTTTTGCTTTTGGGGGGCCATCTCCCCCTGCAGAAGCCGCAGGGACGCTTGATGCCCTAAATCTTGTTTCCTTTCATTCAGAACCGACAGCTGGGATTCCGTGGCAGTGCAGCCACCATTGTTGGGAAGGCGGATTAATGCGGTGTGATTAATTATGCACGGCTTCCCAGAATGCCCCCTCCCTCGCCCCTATTCAGGAGGCAGCTAGACGCTTATAACTGCTGCGGAGGACTTTGGGAGGGAGGACTTTGGGAGGGAAGGCGGCGGGGTGAGGTGCTGGTGGAGAGTTGGGGTGGTCCTTTCCTGAGCTCCCAGGGAGTAAAGTCCTGACCCAGGAGGCTGGGGAGGGTCAGGGGTCTGCTTGACTGGAGATGGCATTGAGGGTGGGACCTGCGGCAGCCCCCCACCCCATCTCCACCTCCTTTTATCATTGCAAAGACATTTCCAGAGAACCAGGTTATGGTGTGAGCGCCCAGACCTGGGGTCCAGGGCCCTCCCCTGCACCAGCTAGCCCCCACTAAGTCTCTGGCTCAGCCCCACCCACACCCGCCTGCACCCTTCTCCTTGGCGGGAAAGCTGGCCCCAGTTTGGCCAGGCGCTCTGCCAAGTACGGTCCACAGAGACCCCCATTGTGCTCGATCGGCAAATCCAGCCGGGGTGAGGGTGGATGGCGGTGGAGAGGCCAGTACTGGGTCTGTACCTTTGGGCAGCTCCCTGCTTGGGGTTCAGGATCAGCCCCATCTTGGGGGAGGCTGCCAGCCCCTGGCAGGAGTCCCTCCCTCTCTGCCTTTGGGGAGCTAGCACTGGCAGGGGCAGTAGGGGCCATGTCCTCTCCCCCAGGAGTCCCCAGCACAACGGTGGCTCAGGCCACAGCACCCAGTCGTGGCCTGGGAAGCTTCTCTGGCACTTCTGTGCTGACTGCGGGGTGAGTCATAGTCCGCACCCCTGGAGGCCAGTCAGGTGGCTGGAGCACTGGACTGGGGGTGGGAGGGTGGCATGATCGCCTGGGGCTGCTCCCACATAGGCCCTCCCCTGGGGTCGACCTCTGGATGCTTCTGTGTACAGGTGGGGACCTCATGGGGAGGGGAGATTGGCATATGGGTGCAAGGCTGGAGGCCCGGCTGTCTGTCCCCAACCCCTGCTTGTGGGGATTTAGAGTTTGGGGTGTCTTTAGTAGGAACCTTAGTGTGGTGGGCTGTTCACCGCATGGTCAGTGGTTCAAACTACCCGGTGGATCTCCAGACAAAGACGAGGCCTCCTCTTTGCGCCGGGATGTGCTGCCTCAGAAAGCCAGGGGAGCACCTTCGTGCTGTCCTGGGGGGTCACCAGTCGGAACGGACCCAGTGGCTGCCGGAGCCGGGTGACACAGTGGGTGATGGGTCCGGCTGCCGTCCACAAGGCCAGCGGTTCACACTCACTATGAGGTCACTGGCCTGGTGAACACTGACAGCCTCTGAAACCCACAGGGGCAGTTCTGCCCTGTCCTATAGGGTTGCTGGGAGCGGGCTTGCCTTGAGGGCAGCCAGCGTGGCGTTTGGGTCAGGGACATAGGCTGGTGTGCTGTCCCCTGACTGGGGTCTGGCAGGGCTTTCCCTGTGGATGCTCCTGGGCTTGGGGCCTGGCCCAGAGACCTGGGGTCATTGCTTTGCAGGCACTTGGTCTGCCCGTGTGGCTGCCCTTGGATGCCTGGACTGCATTGGCCCCCCCCTTGTCCCATCTGCTTGTGGGCTGACAGGCTGGTCTCTGGGGGCCTGCGCTCCATCAGTGGGGTGTAGACTGAGTCCCTGGGTGGGCTGTGGGGCTGCTTGGGGAGGGTGTTTGGGTGTTCCCCTGAGGGATCCTCAGGCTGTAGCTCTGGGGGGCTGAGGGAGCCCAGGTGAGGACAGCAAGGAAGCCAGGTTCCCCAGCAATGATGCTGTGTGGCATGGACATGGCTCCTGGCCTCGGGGTAAGAGGCAGCGGGGTGGTGTTCCCAGCACGTGGCCAGTCATGCAGATGCCACCTGGCCTCGTCTGTCCACCCCTGCCCCGTCGCCCTGCCAGCACCGAGGGTAGTGCCTTGCTCCCCCCGAGGCCCGCCACCGGTCTCCACGCTCTGAGGTGGGGGGGAACGGCGGTTTGGGAAAAATATTGATCAGAGGGCAAGTGTCACCTGCCTTCTCCGTGTGGGGGTGGGGACGCCGTGGGGGGCGGGCCGGGTGTGCAGCGGCGGCAGGCGGGGCCTCCTTGGCCGACTCTGCCTCAGAACGGAAACTGATGTTTTTTCCATTGAGAAAATAATGTTTTTTCTAACCAGAAAGAAGGGGGTGACCTTAGCAGGAAGGGGGTGGAGCAGGGCAGACAGGGAGCTAGGGGCCGGAGCAGGGCCTGAAGTACTGGGGGCTGGGACTTCCAGATGGACAGCAGGTTGGGGGGTGTTGAGGGGGTTAGCTAGGGCAGGTCTGCCCCACCCCAGCCACAGGTGGTACTCCATGCGGGTCCCCGGTGGCTTGGCCTTCAAGGCAGGTGGGCCTCCCTGCTGGGTGAGGGCTTGTCCCCTCCATGTGGTGTGTGTGTGTGTGTGTGTGTGTGTGTGTGTGTGCCGTGTCTCCCACCCCCTGTCCCCTTGGGACACAGCACTTCAGATCAGGCTGCT